TATTTTATCCTCGTTTTCCGGGCGTTCGGTACATTAGAACAAAGCGTCTCATTACTTCTTTCATTATTCTTGATCCTGCCATTGCATCCTCATCGCCCAGGAACATTTTTTTGCAATGCCATCGGCACGTGTCACGCATAAAAGCCGTATTTTCTCTTCATTCTCACTGTTACGACATCTGTAGATATTATTCTCTGTTATGTCGTTGACCAACTGAAATTTTTGTTAGATAGTATGACCCTTTATTGTATACACAATAATGCTACGTATGCGATGGTGTGCGTCCCATCTACATTCCTACTAAAACTGTACGTTCTTTAACCCATACATTTCCTGGTTCATTCGATGAACTAGTAGAAGTAAGGAGTGTTGTGACCAATGGAGTTTAATGCGTTTCCTGAGCGTATAGTAGCTCAGTCGAATTTGCACACCAGATGCGCATGCGTACACACTGACCGCATGAGGTGTGTGGTCGGGGCTGCCCCTCCCTCTGTTGGTTTACTTGGCAGCGTTTCAGTGATCTACTTGGTCAAGATTTCCAACTTGCTTAGTGGACAGGCACATGTATGCACTGAATTATGTAGATGTTCGCAATAGTGTGTTGCTCGTGGTACTATTTAGTTAATCACACCATTTAACTGCCGTCACCGAATTTCAAAGATTTTAGTTGATATTTATTGTTTTGGGACAATAGTCGTATTAGCAATAGCCTTTGAATTTAAGCTTTAAACCCGAGTTAATGTTTTCGATTTTTGTCTTCAGGTCGTGCGTAAATACCCGAACAGCAAGGATGCGCGCCAGAAATACGACGAATGCTTCAAGAGACAACGTCTTCGTGCCTTCGCGAAGGCCATTGCTAGTGAAGAAAAACCCTCTCCTTTGGAGAACTTCGATCCCTCCTCAATTTGCATCGAGCCCAGCTATGCGGGACCACACTTGGAGCAGAAAGACGATGGAACTTATGCAGTTACACAGAAGTTCATGACTGAACTTCTGGAAACGTTTAAGGCCCAGAAGAAGTTGCACCGACGTTACGCGGTTGTGGTAAGTTTTGTCGTTTATTTGTCTTTGATCGTGATATTCGTAATTACCTTTTTTTCTTAGCGGTAGTCTCTGGCAGTGTCCTGAGCTGTTGAGGGCTGTTTGCCTACTATAAGCCCCCCTTGTTCGTCACACTGCTGTAAGCTACGTACGTCCCTGCTGTGTAGGCTTTCAAATGCTTCTCCTTTTCGACCCTTCTTTTGTGCCGGTTTTTCTTAATGCCTTCTAAAGGTTTGAAGACCAACCATCAAAGGCCCTCTATTTCTAAGCTGTTGATTTACTTACTGTAATAAGTAGTAAAGTAAGGAAGCGTTTTGAAGGTTGCTTGTGCTTAGCGTTGTTTCCTTCTGTAAACGTAGCACGAAGCATGTTAGCATTGACGGGAACATCTCTAAGGATGGCCGAAATGTCCTCTCTTATTAGGGTTGTAGCTGAGTCCTATCTATCCACTGCTTTCAATAATATAAGACAAATGGTATACAATAACCACAGGCGGTCTAATTCTAATTCACCGCTTCTGACCAAGGGGAGCATTTGTTGTTAGGAAATGCGCTTGGAAGAGGGACTAAAATTGTTTAGCCTCGATAACGTCGCGGTCGGACTAGATTGTTATCCTTCCAAGTACATTTATAGTCTATCTAATTGGACTGTTCCATTAGTGTCAACTGGTTGAAAATTGCTTGTTGGAGAAAGTTTATGCTACAAAGGTGGTTAGAATGCGTAAATACGAGGCCGAAGGACTGCAGACCCTCGTGAAAGTTTACGGCGTATAGAATTTGGAGCCGACTAAACCACCATATGCAAAAGTTTGAAAAAAAATTCAACATCAAATCAAAAAGCAATGGCTTTACCTCGTAGTTCCCATCGTCCCTAGGTCTGCTTTAATTCGGCGCCATTCTGTCGCTCAGAAATGTGTCCATTGGTATTTCAAACAACCTTAAGACTGCCAACTTCAGCCATAGGTGCTTGGAAGGAATCACGCGGGTTCACTGACATAAATTAGTCGGAACCATGGTTCACCTGCCCAGTGAACATTTAATTTCCATGATTTATGTCGACAATGCCAAACATCTACGCTGGCAGTGATTTACCGTGATGGCCCACCCAGAATAAGCAAGCGGACAGTGTTTCGTATCGTATTGCTCGAGCGTTCGACGCATAATCTGAATGCAGCAACCGAAACCGCCCCCGCCTTTCATAGTGTTATGTTGTGTTCCATCCGAATGGTACGTTAATTTCTGATTTCTCGATAGTAATACCGCCTCCTAATCTGAATTTTATAGAACACTGTCCTATGAGCTTTGAATTTCTCGAAGGAACTCATCGATCACG